AGAGGGAACCCCAACAAAATCCTGCAGCCTCTTCTCATTTGCTAAACATCAGCCCAATGCCTGATTGTCACACGAGAGGAGAGCGAAAATCAATGGCTTTATGTTCGGATCTCCTGCATAATGATGTTTAAAGGGTCTAAGGCTCTCTGGTCCCAGGGCCATTTCTACAGCTCTTATTTCAAAAGGCACTGCCTCTAAAAGGAGTGGGCAGCCTTTGCCCCTCTGGGTGTTGCTGAACTACAATTCCCATCAGCAAGCCCAGCTGATAGGCAGAGACGTTGGGAGTTGTAGCTCAGTAGAATCAGAAATGGCTGGAGGTTCTCAGGAATCTAAACTGCACTCTGAACTCCAAAACCCAGTAGCAGGATTGTTCGATGTTGTGGTGGGAAACAAATCTGGCAGGTTGTTTCAGGATCTCCAAGAACTGTACAGCAGCTGCAGGAGTCGAGCAATGGCAGACTTTGGGCTCTCAAATTTCAGCAGCCTCCTGGGCAAGGCTAAAATTTGGAGCCCCCTGCCTCTCACGCTCCGTTCTAGAGCACTGTTGTGCCGCCCCGCCCCCCCCAGTGCAGCAGAATGGGTTGTGCTACCCTGAAACTGCCTCTGAGCTGCGATCCCGGAAGGAACAGCTGGTGCAGAATAAGCCCCGCCCTCCTCCTCCTTGGCCCGCCTCCCATTCCACCCCGAGAGGAGATCTGTGCTGACCTGTCCAGGGATGGAGGGAGCAGGTGGCTTTTCGGGAGTCAGCATACTGCTGGGAATGTCAGACTGGTATGAGATGGGGGGAGGTCCTTGGTTGAATTCATTTAATGTCGGGGTGCCGGGGTTCACAGTAGGGAAGGAGTCAGGAAAAGTCCCAGGGCCAGAAAAGCTTGAACCTGTTGAGAGAGGGAAGCAAAATCCAAATCAGTGGGGGGGGGGGGGGAGAGGAGCAAAAGGGCGAATCAGGACACAGAGATTGTTCTCCTTATACACAGGAGCCAAAAGGTGGAAGAGGGGCTCTGGACAGGAATGTGAGCAAGAACCAGACGTGTGAGGTGGTTTGGGACCCCTTATAAAAACTTAGTGCTAGGTAGAGAATTCCTTTGGGGATTGGTTAGTACTTATACAAAGAGCTTAGCATTTGGGTGCTCAAGTCCACCATCAGAAATACAAAAATGATGAGTTCTATCCAATGGTAGTTCTAGGCTGTGTGCACACCATATATTTAAAGTGGTGGGGGGCTTTAAGAGAGAGCACCGAAGAACCCTGGGGACTATAACTAACGGTCTGCTGTGAACAAGCTGCTTAGCACTTTGTGGACAGAATCCACGTCCTGTGGGTGTAACTTTGGCCTCTGAATGTCCATTGTTAATGGATATTTTTCAAATTTTACAGCCTGAGGATGTGGACAGGATCCTTGGGCATGTGCGAGCTACCACACGCGTGCCGTTTTTGTTGTAATTACAGTGGTACCTCAGGTTACATAAGCTTCAGGTTACAGACTCCGCTAACCCAGAAATAGTACCTCGGGTTAAGAACTTTGCTTCAGGATGAGAACAGAAATCGTGTTCCAGCGGCGCGGCGGCAGCAGGAAGCCCCATTAGCTAAAGTGGTGCTTCAGGTTAAGAACAGTTTCAGGTTAAGAACGGACCTCCGGAATGAATTAAGTTCTTAACCCGAGGTACCACTGTATTTGTATGCTTTGAACAGATTTTATACATATATATAGTTTTAATTCTATCAGCATTTAATTACTTTTAAATGATTGCTTTTTTCCCTATATTTTTAGCAGTTTTTATCTGTAAACTGCCTTGAAAACGGTGGGATATAAATATAATAATACAGTGGTACCTCGGGTTAAGAACTTAATTCGTTCTGGAGGTCCATTCTTAATCTGAAACTGTTCTTAACCTGAAGCACCACTTTAGTTAATGGGGCCTCCCTCTGCCGCCGCACGATTTCTGTTCTCATAGTGAAGCAAAGTTCTTAACCCGAGGTACTATTTCGGGTTAGCTAAGCCTGTAACCTGAAACGCCTGTAACCCGAGGTACCACTGTTATGATAATGTTGTCGTCATCATCATCATCAACCTCAACAACAACAAGTCACAAAGCTACAATTCCCAGCACTCTTAACAAACTATAGTTCTCAGGGCTCAGGGGAGCGGAGAGATATGCTTTAAATGTACAATGTGTAGGCACATTCAAATTAATGACCCTAAATTAGTCATGTTCATTAATCTCAATGGTTCTTCTCTGCGTAGGGCAACCATTGGATACAAGTCACGGTCTGTTCTGTTCTGTGCACCAGCTCATTTCTCTCTCCGCCTAACTCAGCCCTCAGTGCCCATTCCCTGCTTTGTGTAACTGGAAGAAGCCACAAAGATCCCCCGCTGTTAACCACTCTGCCTCCCCTTCTGTCCCCTTTCTCTGCTTTTATCTAGTGTCAAATCTTAGCCTGTAAGCTCCTTGGGGCAGGGACCTAACCCAATCGTGCTCTGTAAAACACCGTGCAAACCAATGACGTTATAGAAAATAAACAATAGGGAAGCTTACAAGGACGAAACGATCCAATAACAGCACTGTACGTACAAAGGTTTGGATTTCTGGTGACAAAGTGGAGACGTAAGTATTGATCAGGGGCGGAGGAAATGTACCCAGGGGCTGCAAAAGACCCGTTAGCTGGACTAGGGAGTCTCTACTGCTGAAAAGGAGGACTCCCTTGGAGGAGGAAGGCTGCATCCTTGAAGAACGAAGGCTTGCCTCCCATGCTAGTCCTGCTCAGAGAGGCTCCCTTGGGCATGGCTACCTTCAGTCCAGTCATTCCAATGGGTCTACCCTGAGACGCAGCCCAGTGGCCTTTCCCTAGTCCCCACAGAGAGGTCTCTCTGCCCCAGACTCACTTTGGCTGGTGTAGTCGCTGCCGCTGGCCGGCGGGGGCTGCAGGGGCCCAAAGGGCGAGGGGCCCGGTCCCAGGGCGGCAATCATCTCCATGACGTTGGGCATCACCATGTGGGTGGGGCTCATGGTGCGGCAGCGCTTCAGCACAGGCCCGTCCTGCTCCTCCTTGATGTGGATGTCGGGCTTGATGGGCACTGGCTTCCAGCTGCACGTCGGGTCAATGGTGATCTCCTCATATTCGGAACTGGGCAGGGAGGCAACGGGAAGGATGGTCAGGCGGTCTTTCTGGCTCAGCCCCTGGCATCTCTGGGCAGGGCTGGGAACAAGCCCCGCCTGGAACTTTGGAGATATGCCCCCTGCAAGCATGGATGCTACTGAACTAAGCGGGTGAATGCCTTAAAGGTAAAGGTAAAGGGAGCCCTGACCATTAGGTACAGTCGCGAACGACTCTGGGGTTGCGGCGCTCATCTCGCTTTATTGGCTGAGGGAGCCGGCATACAGCTTCCGGGTCATGAGGCCAGCATGACTAAGCCGCTTCTGGAGAACCAGAGCAGCGCACAGAAACGCCGTTTACCTTCCCGCCAGAGCGGTACCTATTTATCTACTTGCACTTTGACATGCTTTCGAACTGCTAGGTTGGCAGGAGCAGGGATTCGAACCGCTGACCTTCTGATCAGCAAGTCCTAGGCTCTGTGGTTTAACCCACAGTGCCACCTGTGTCCCTTTTGGGTGAATGCCTTAGCAAGGTGTAAACAGCACACTATGTTCCCACGCCTGCAGAAATTGCGCCCCTACGCAAGGCTGCCTGGATTCAGGGCCCTTTGTGAGCTGGCACACAAAAGTAGGCTTGCACAGCTTCACGGCCATTTCTAGCATAGCAGGGAAAAGGTGGATTAAGTGTGTGCCCTTGGAACAACCTCAAGAGGGCTGAGAGCTGAGCCATCTCACAGCCCTGTCTTAAAACAAGAGGCTGGAGGCCCATCACTGGACGATGTGCGTTTACGGAATTTCAAACTCTGCTCATTGGAAATTAAGCGCCCACCTGCAGCCCTGAAAACGGAGGGCTTTCAACTCTATTTCAAACCTTGTCAGGCTCAGAACGGCCCCTAGAGAATCGAAAACCTGAGGCTGACAGGAAGTCCACGGCTGCCATCTCAGCACAGGACCCCATGGAAATACAAGCCCCATTTTCTAGAACTTCCCAGGCTGCTGGCACATGACCCCCTTTTTTTTGGCTCAAAGATTTGTCCTTGGCAGTGTAAGTAAAGGGGAGGGGGGAATGATGCAGTGAATTATACACCAAGGCCGGAACATCCCTGCCTCAGTGCCCAGCAGGTTTGATCTGGTTCCTTCTTGTTTATGTAAAGCAATGCTGTCTTTTTTTATTTTTCTTCCCGGCAGTGAAAATTGGGAGCACGAGGCCCTCAAATGGCAGAAGGGAAGTTTTGCATGCTGGCTGGTCTTGCTCTGTATTCTGGGACAAGGAAGGCTCAACTGTGACACCTGGTGCAGCTGCTGCTAATGAGACAGCAGGATCTCTGGGGCCGAGAAGGAAGCGAGAAGCACACTCATCATTCAGGGAAGGGATGGGGGTCACTGGGGAGAGGGATATAAAGCTGCTTGGGTATGAATTCCCTAAACCAGGGGTGCGGAACTTCAGGTGTTGCAGGACCACAACTCCCACCATCCCTGACCACTGGCCAAGCTGGCTGGGGCTGATGGTGGTTGGAGTCCACAATATATGGGTGCTCATTCTTGCCCTAAACCGTGATGCCCTGGAGATGATGTTGGACTCCCATCCATCAGCCCCAGTCAGCACAGCCAATGGTAGTGGGTGGTGGGTGTTGCAGTCTAGCAACATCTGAAGGATACAAAGTTGTGTGCCTAAATAAATAAATGAACAGAGGGGAAAGATGAAAGCAAAACACCACAAGGAGCTAGAATTTTAGCCACTAGACTCAAGATACTACTGAGTAGCAAAGAGAAGATGCTACAATTAATATGCATTTCAGTATACAGTATGGCTGTAATCGCACTCATTGCCACAACCACCTTGTGAGCATCCCTGTATATCTCAGGTTAGGCAGAGACAGCCTGCTCAGAGATCCTTTAAGGGCTGCAGCTCAGTGGTAGAGCATCTGCTCTGGATGCAGATGGTCCCATGTTAATTCCCTGGCATCTCCAAGTAGGGCTGGGAGAAACTCTTGTCTGGAACCCTGGACAGCTGCTGCCGGCCAGTGTAGACAACGCTGAGCTAGGTGGACCAATGGTCTGACTTGGGTACAAGACAGGAAGTAGATACAAGATCAGCAAAGTGGGGCAAATGGCAAAGCCTTGTCAGTCGTGGCTCCAACAGTAAGCAGGGATAATTTAGAAATCATAGCAGTGCCGTTGTGGTATAGCGGTTAGAATGCTGAACCCAGACCTGGGAGACCAGGGTTCGAATCCCCACTCAGCCCTGAAGCTCACTGGACAACCTTGAGCCAGTCGCCATCTCTTAGCCTATCCTACCTCACAGGATTGTCGTGAAAGGAAAGGGGAGGAGACCCATGTACACCTTGAGCAACTTGGAGAAAAGGGATATAAATGTAGTAATAATATAATAAAAAATAGTACAGAAACCATTGCAAAGCATTTTTTTTTTATCTGCTCATGGTGAACCTTTATGACTGCTTGATATTCTGAAAGTCTGAGCTCCCTCGGGTTCTGTGCTTGCAATATTAGAGCTGACTGGCTTTTTGTTTTTCATTGTGTGCATCTTGTGTTGCCTTCGAGGGCTGTGTAATCGTGCCTCGTTACTGTAAGCTGCATGAGAGCGTGGGATATAAACGGAATAAATGAAACTCTGTGGAGGATGTCAGGCTGAGGACAGCGGCTGCCCAGTGACTCAGCCGGGGTTCAGCAAGGATTTGAACCAGGCCGGCCAATCCCCAAACTCTGCCTCTCAGAATGCTTTCTGGCTCGTATAAATTTCGGGGGTAGTGGTGCTGGAGTTGGGGCTTGTCAGGCCCAGCGATGCAGTTCCATCATTTTAGACTCTGAGCTTAGTTTTATTGGGGAGCCTCTTTAAGAGGTAAATATACATTTGCTTCAGAATGTGGCGAGTGATTCTTTTTGGAGGTGGGGTCACTCACTTTGCTAAGGCCATGGACTTTTGCCTCAGAGTCCTACCCAAATGACCCCTCTCTGTTCAGGCCTGTACCTTGACCCAGAATACATATTTGCTTCAAAATTTCCACAATTTTCTGAAGGCAACCCTGTATCAGGAAATTTTTTATGTTTAATGTTTTACAATTTTGTATGTGCTGTAAGCCACCCAGAGTGGCTGGGGAAACCCAGATGGGCAGGGTATTCTTCATCATCATCATCATCATCATCATCATCATCTTCCTTCACAACAATCCTGGAAAGAAGAGGCAGCAGCTGTTCTTGTAGTTTGCTTAACTGGCTGAGCACGAAATTCAACCCAGACCTCTCCTGTCCTCGTCTGACAAGACGCCACATTGCACTGGCACTCTTTTCCAAAATGGGTCTCTGCTGACTGCCTCTTCTGTTTCCAAAACCTCTGGTCTCAGTGATGAGCGAGTTTATCCAGGGCAGAGGTGGGGAAGCTGTGGCCCTCTAGATATGGATGAACTTCCATCAGTCCCAGGCAATGGTCAGGGGTGATGGGAGTTGTAGCGCAGCAATATATGGATGGCCACAGGTTTCCCCATCCCTGATCTAAGGCCTTTCCCTGCCTGAATTCTCATTCCTATCCCAACACAGCAGGTTTTGTCTAACCATGACAAAATCACAAAGGAAGGGGTAATCGGCTGGGGAGGGGTCTGGCTCCAGCACTTGGCTGCCCTCCGGTGGTGAAAAGCCCATACTATTATAATTATAGGCCCTATTTTGGGCGTACCTGTCCTTGTGGTTTGAAATGGGGTGAAAATCTTGCACGTATTATTACACAGTGTGTTTTGCACGACATGCTGAAGGAAGAATATCTGGGTCGGATTTTAAGGAAATACACAAGGAGACTGCAATCTGTCTACTGTGTGGAAAGCATAGACACACATCTGCAAAGACCACACATTTCCCACCTAAATTACTTGATGCTAGGGATTTTGGGGCAGGATAGTCAGAATCTTAAGTTTGTTTCTGTTTTTTAAACATTAAATTTTATTTTGGTTTGTGTAACTTTTATTTCTGCTAACTCGTCTTATATGGATATGCAGTTCCTTTCGGTTTGACTTTTTATTTTTTGCTTTGGAAATGGTCTAAATACAAGCACACAAATCTGGATCTGATGGTAGCTGTTCACTTTTTCTGAATGGACACTTACTTTTGAATGTAGATTAGGATCCCCAACATGTACTGATCCACTTCGAGTCCCTCCAACAGGGCTGTTTTACTGAGAACAAAGCAAATAACACAATAGTTAGCAGTAATAGCGGTGGTAGCAACAAACACTGCTCAGAGAAGTGTAAAGGCTGGGGGCTTGCAATATGCTTCTGACTACATATACTAAAAGGGATGCGGGTGGCGCTGTGGGTTAAACTACAGAGCCTAGGGCTTGCCGATCAGAAGGTCGGCGGTTTGAATCCCCGCAACGGGGTGGGCTCCCGTTGCTCGGTCCCTGCTCCTGCCAACCTAGCAGTTCGAAAGCACGTCGATGTGCAAGTAGATAAATAGGTACCGCCCCGGCGGGAAGGTAAACAGCGTTTCTGTGCACTGCTCTGGTTCGCCAGAAGTGGCTTAGTCCTGCTGGCCACATGACCCGGAAGCTGTACGCCGGCTCCCTCGGCCAATAAAGCGAGATGGGCGCCGCAACCCCAGAGTCGGCCACGACTGGACCTAATGGTCAGGGTCCCTTTATCTTACATATACTGAAGATGGGGGCTTGTGATTGTTCAGGCGTCGCTAGACTACAATTCCCATCATCCCCGACCATTGACCATTCTGGCTGATGCTTATGGGAATTGGGAGCCCAAAATTTGCAGGGCCACAGGTTCCTTGTCTCTGACACACACATACAGATTTTCAACCGCTTCTTTCCCCTTCTCCATGTCCCACACAAGTCCCCATGGTTTGTTCATTATTACTGAAGTTTAGCAGACGTTTGGCACAAGAAATAGACAGGGGAGAGAGAGGGAGCCATCTTGCCAGAGTGGCACAGCAGGTGAGTAGCACTGTCAGGTACTATAGTCAATAGGGGAGAGCTACTGCCTTCATGCCCTGCCTGTGGGTTTCTAAGAAGCATCTGCTTGGCCGCTATGGGAAACAGGATGCTGGGGTTCGAGTGGCTAGTCTGATCCAGGAGGGTTCTTCCTGAGTGCTTATACTGCTTCGCTGACTACATTCTTGCATTTCATAGATGCCACCTGCTCCTGCGAAGGTCAGGGGCCCCACCCACAAATACTCACTTGCAAACAGGACATCTCCACGTCCCCCTTTCACAGTTCAGCTGCAGATAGGACTCCAGGTCAAAGCACTGAGCAAAAGACAGGGAATTTGGTTGGGAAGAAGGTGTAGATTTCCCCAAGAGGGGGCAGCAATTTACGGTTGTATTCAATGTTAGTCACACTCAGGCTGCACACACACACACACACACACACACACACACACACTCATGTTGACAGTGCAACCCCTGCTCCCAAGGATCCTGAGAACTGTAGTTTGCCCCTTGCAGAGCCACAATTTCTAGCAATATAATAATAATAATAATAATAATAATAATAATAATAATAATAATTTTATTTCTACCCTGCCCATCTGGCTGGGTTTCCCCAGCCACTCTGGGCGGCTCCCAACAAAATATTAAAAACATGATCAAACATTAAAAACTTCCCTAAACAGGTTTGCCTTCAGATGTCTTCTAAAAGTCAGGTAGTTTTTTATTTCCTTGACATCTGAAGGGAGGGCGTTCGTTCCACAGGGTGGGCGCCACTACTGAGAAGGTCCTCTGCCTGGTTAACAAGCCAGTTCCCAGGATTCTGTGCCGAGTGCTGAATGTGCTTTAAATGTGTGCAAGAATCCCTCAGAGTAGACCCACTGAAATTAATTGGCATGGCAAGGTTAGGTCCATTAATTTTATTGGGTCTTCTCTCAGCAGAAGTTAGCAGGACACAACACCTTGTCGTGGAGTGACAGCAACCGAAGAAAACCTCCTCCCCAGTCTAGATATCTAAAAATGGCCTGACAGTGTACGAGGCAGTTCAGCTGCTGCCTAGATGGGAGATCACACGGGCAAGGGGGCAGAAGCCACTCTGCAAACTTTGGAGGGGCAGCGGGAGATAACAGTGTCATTGGTGAGGCTGCAGTGATGGAGCAGAATGGGAAGGAAGGCTGTATGACCAGAGACTCACCTGTATGTGCCTGCAATCATGACCCCTGGCAGGAAGCTGGATTCTCCGAAAAGTAATGGGGCACTTCAGAGACACCTTGATGGCTGTTTGCTCCACTCCATCTTCCCCATTTGGACCTGGAGTTCCAGGGATTGTGCCGCTGCTGAAGTTTCGCTTTACTAAGGATCGGGAAGGAAAAGGGACGTTGTTGCAAACAGCAGAGCTTTTTGGCCTCCATCACAAAATTCATAGGCAGGAGAGCGCGCAGTTGAACTACGGAGGTCGCTGTTAGAATTCCTGCTCCATGATTGCAGTCATGGGATTGTTGTCTATCGCATGACGATATATGTTTTGACTCCACAAAGCAGGAAGTGACGGAGACAGGATGTTTGTGTTACTGTGTTCCATGAAGTGAGACTATTGTCCTTTGTTCTTTCTCTTTGCTGTCTGAGGGAGCCGTGTTGCAGTGCTCTGTGTGTGTTTATATGTAAATAAGGTAGATTAGCCAAAATGCTGAGTTGCTGAGGTCTGTTACGGATCCCTAAGTGTGCCAGTGTCGGTTGGCATCGGTCACTGTGATGTTCGGGCTGAAGAAAGCTTTTGGAGCTCCCGAACGATTGACCAGGAGGGAGAGAACATGCCAGTCGGACATGTGTCTCTGCCAGGGTCCTACTCGAGTGTAGGACGAGCTCCTAACATTCGCTACCACGAAATGTAGCGATGGATGGCAAACTACATGGTTTTAAAAGCAGCTTAGACAAATTCATGGAGAGATAAGGCTACCAATGACTACCAGCCACGATTATCTCCAGTCAGGCCCACATCTGATGGCTGGAGTGGGAGACCCCAGTTGGC